AAACTTTGTACAAAAATAATCTTTTCATATATATAACAAATATATGAATAAATAGGAACATAGTATCAATACCTTTCCACCTTTCAAGCCAAGAATTTAGCTATTCAAATAATATACCTTTAAACAAACCAGGTTCCATATAATGCCACTTTTAAACCTTTTCTAATTAACAAGGTTTATTTAAAGTTTCAGGCCAAACCTGTTATTTTTTCCTCCATAATATCTAGACTATAATTTCCAATAAAAACCTTGTTCCCAAATCTTTAAATCACAAAGAAATAAAGATTCCAGATCACGATAGTCTTAAGGGATATAATAGAAAGAGTTATATCTTATCACACACATACAAATGCCACTCTTATATCAAATGTACACCTCTCCTTGATATGCCACCCTTATCTCATGGTACACCTCTCCTTGATATGCCCCCCTTATTTCTTCATCAAAACATTTTACGAAAATAATTCCAAATAGACGACAGTCAATGGAATTATTATCATTCCAAAATCATTTGTATCAAAATTCCCATTTTATAATAAAATAATATTTTTTATCCATCAAGTATAAGGTATAATACAAATCCAGTCAACATAGGCTTGGCCGGACTTTATCTCCGGTCAAGTCTTGGCCGGTTTACCAAATTCGGACAACACATCGCTCTAAGGCTTGTCCGATTAAACACTTAGAATAATTTCAACACCTTTTATTCGGATATCAAGTCCGGACAACATATTGTCAAAGCTTGACCGATTTAGAATAATCCGGTCACCACATGGTCGTATTCATACTTCTATGTTCAAAATGTTTAACATAATATTCATAAATCACTCAATGCTTGACCGGTTTAAAACTAAACCGCTTAACGCTTGACCAGTTTAGGGCTTAATTGCCCAACCCTTTTCCGATTTAAGACTTAAATCGATTACATCTTGACCGGTTTAGGTCTAATCTGAACAACACTCTTACGATTTAAACTTCCAATTGTACAAAAAGATTTTATTCAACAAATTATGCATTCCAAAGAGAAGTTAAGTATTTAAAAACCACTCACCTTTTTGAAAGCTTTCTTGAACTGCTATTGAGAATGAAATCCGGTCACCTCTTCTTCTTCGAAATCGCACACTTACTCTCAATTATTCAAAAATGGATAGAAAAAATATAAAGGGGGCTTAACTCCTCTTTTTATACTTTCCTTTTCAGGAAAGTCGGCTACTAAAGCCTCCCCCCTTCACATACATGCATACATGAGACTCTAGTACACATACACATGTATAATCACACGTACATAATCACACATACATATTGTCACACCCCGCTAAAGTGGAAACACGAGATGCAACAGGTAAGCGAGTCACATCAACAATTAATAAATAACACTTTTCAATTTTTCAAAATAAAATGAGTTTAACATCATAACCAAATTTTTGACAAATACTTCTTTTACAAAAACTTCCATTGCGAACTTAATCAGTTTTGCCACAAGTATGCTCCCAAAATACTTCATTTCTTACTTGTTACCTGAAAAG